ATACAAGGGAAGAAACACACATCTAAAATGCAAATATTGCAATGGTGTTGGTCATGAGGAAGACAAGTGTTGGGAACTTCATCCTGAACTCAAGCCTAAGTTCAGCAAAGATGGAAGGATGATACCAAGGTCCTCACAACAATTTCAACCTCATTTCAAGGCACAACTTGCTAATGCTCACGCTCCTACTATCTCACAAGGATCCATGGAGTTCACTGCCAATCCATTGTCATTGATCAATGAATTTGCAGCTTACCTACAAAGTAAGGGGCACGGAGGAGGCTCACATGGTCAAGGCAATGAAGAGGGTAGTCACACAGCTATGTTGGGACAATTTGCCAGATTTCTTGCTGGAAATGAGAAAGTTCCAAAGGGAGAAGCATCAGGTATACTCAAAGCCTTTACTACTGCCCTATTAACTAATACTGAAATTGATTGTTGGATAATTGATTCAGGCGCCACAGATCATATGACAAACAAAGTTACAAATTTACATCATTTTAAAAAAATTTCAAGCCCCTCACATGTGTCTGTTGCAAATGGAAAAAATGTCTTAGTTTTGGGAAAGGGAGAAATAAACTTACTCTCTCAAAAAACACCTTCCACTGCCCTCTATGTACCAACCTTTCCCTTCCAACTTTTGTCAATTGGAAAGATCACCAACACCCTAAACTGCCGTGCTATTTTCTCACCAAATAAAGTAATGTTTCAGGATGTTCTCACCATGAAAATGATTGGTGAAGGGGTCTTCATAAATGGACTTTACTACCTGTGCAAGAATGCATGTCTCACTCAGGCTCTTCAAGCTCAATCAAAGTCCATAGATGAAAACCAACTTTGGCATAGGAGATTAGCTCACCCCTCTGAACTTGTCTTGTCGAAACTGTTTCCAAATTTTTGTAACCCCTATCCTACTTGTGATACTTGTCAATTTTCCAAGTTTACTAGGCTACCTTTTGGTAATTCAATGTCTAGGACAAGTAAACCTTTTGAAATGGTACACACCGATGTTTGGGGACCTGCAACTGAATCAATGGAAGGTTTTAAATATTTTGTTCTATTTGTTGATGATTTCTCTCAAACAAGTTTTCTATATCTTATGAAATCAAAAAGTGAAGTCCCTACCATTTTCAAAGACTTTCACATGCATGTTAAAACGCAATTTCAATCAAACATTAAGGTTTTAAGGTCAGATAATGACACTGAATTTCTATCCAACAACATGCTTCAATACATAAGTTCTCAGGGTATCATACATCAAACCAGCTGTGTGGGGACTCCCCAACAAAATAGAGTAGCCGAGAGGAAAAATAGAGATCTCTTGGAAAAAACTCGTGCTCTCATGATTCACATGCACGTTCCAAAGAAATTTTGGTCGTTTGCTATCCTTACTGCCACTTATCTCATCAATCGACTTCCAAGTCGCGTGCTAGGGTTTAAATCTCCCTATGAAGTTCTCAAGGGGAGGAAAATAGATTTGACACATCTCAAGGTGTTTGGTTGTGTGTGTTTTGTTCACATCCAAACCTTGAACCGTGACAAACTAGATGCCAGGGCAACCAAATGTGTGTTTATGGGATACTCGACCACTCAAAAGGGATATAAGTGCTTCAATCCAGTCACTAAGAAGTGCACAGTTTCAAGAGATGTGAAGTTCGAAGAAGACTATCCCTATTTTACAAGTCAGGGGGAGGATTTAGTTGACATGTTCCCACTCCCTCAAAACTTTAATTATCCGATGTTGGAAAAGAGATCAGTCATTGTAAGTCCAGATTGTGAAGAAGTTCAAACTGACCAAATTACTGCCAGTGAGAGTGAAGACGAGCCCTACTCTGATCATTCTCCGCCCTCTACAGAGTCTCAGGTGATTAAAAGAAATCCTCCTCGAATCAGAAAACCTCCAGCTAGGTTGCAGGACTATGTTACATATGCCTCACGACATCCAATCAATGAATGTATCAGCTTTAGTAAGTTCTCAACATCTCATGCTACATTTCTCAGTGAAATTGATAAGCACTATGAACCAAGAAGCTTCTCTTCTCCCACAATGGAACCAAGCCATGAAAGAAGAGATTCGTGCACTGGAAGAGAATTGCACCTGGAGCCTAGTTCAACTACCACCAGGAAAAAAGGCTGTTGGAAGTCGTTGGATTTACAAGACTAAATTCAAAGCTGATGGATCTATCGAGAGACACAAGGCTAGACTTGTTGCTCGAGGTTTCACCCAAACCTTTGGTGTAGATTATAAGGAAACATTCGCACCGGTGGCCAAGATGAACTCAGTCAGGGTTTTACTGTCAGTTTCAATCAATTATGGATGGTCACTCTACCAAATGGACGTGAAGAATGCTTTCCTTCACGGCGAGCTGCAGGAAGAAGTGTATATGCAACCTCCTCCAGGCTATGATGGTATTAAAGGCAACATGGTTTGTAAATTGCACAAGGCAATATACGGATTGAAACAATCACCAAGAGCTTGGTATGCCAAGCTCAGTTCTGTTCTGGAAAAAGGCTGGATTCATGCGAAGTAATGTTGATTCTTCGTTATTTGTAAGAACTGGCACCAGGGGGAAGTTGGTGGTCCTCGTCTATGTTAATGATCTTATCATCACTGGAGATAATACCGTGGAGATTGAGGCACTAAAACTCTCACTACATCAAGCTTTCGCTATCAAAGATTTAGGGAGGTTAAAGTATTTTTTGGGGATCGAAATGGCAACATCTTCAAAATGACTGTTTCTACATCAACGGAAATATGTATTGGACCTCCTTCAAGAAGCAAAAATGCTTGACTGCAAGCCTGCTATCACTCCCGTTGATTGTAAACTGAAGCTCAGCATAGATGGAGAAGCCATGCATGATGTAAGCTACTATCAACGATTAGTAGGCAAGCTCATATACCTCACTATCACTCGTCCAGATATCACATATGCATTGAGCTTGGCTAGTCAGTTCATGCACTCTCCCACTGTTTGATCACCTTAACCTTGTTAAGAGAATCCTTCGTTATCTTAAGGGTTCAATTGGGCAAGGAATTACAATGCATAACAATCAGTCCACTGTCATTAGTGGCTACACAGATGCAGACTGGGCAGGTAATGCAATTGATAGGAAATCAATCACACAGGCTATTGTACATTTGTTGGTGGAAACCTTGTCACATGGAAGAGTAAGAAGCAACAGGTAATTGCTCGTTCCAGCGCAGAGGCTGAGTATCGAGCCATGGCAGCCACTGCATGTGAACTCATTTGGCTTAAAGGGCTTCTTTCAGACTTAGGGTTTCCTAGTTCTACTCCTATGACGCTTATGTGTGATAATCAGGCAGCCATGCACATTGCTGCCAATCCTGTGTTCCATGAAAGAACCAAACATATTGAAGTGGATTGTCATTTCATCAGAGCTCAAGTTCAAACGCAAATCATCCGGACCATGTTCACACGAAGCCATGATCAACTAGCAGATCTTTTTACAAAGGCACTAGCATCATCTCAGTTTCATCGGTTATTGGGCAAGCTTGGCTCAGTGAATCCCCTCGATCCAGCTTGAGGGGGAGTGTTGGAATGCATACAAGTCATATCTTGTGTTAAAATGCATGCATGAAATAAACATGTTGGATGACTAGTGAAGTTAGGCTAGTCAACATTCTTTGTGTAAATTAGGCAAGTTAGGCAAGTTAGGAAATTAGGCAAGTTAGGCAAGTTAGGCTTATGTCTACTTTCTTTTCATATATATATGTTTCATTTGTAATTGTTTCTTCATGAAATACACATAAAAAATTCTACACTAACAGAAATATGCCAGACAAATCCTCATCTTCTTTTCTGGTTGGTAGTGTAGTAACGGATGATGATACATGCTGTGCTCCTGAAAATAAGTGACAGATAGAGAAACATGCAGAACTATTATTGAGCTCCACAAAAAGAAACTCGAGGATCATTATCCTTATGGAATAGTAATACGAAAACAAAGTATTCAACATTCATCGATACTGCGAGATTTGAACGATTCAACGTTCATCGATATATAGCCACATCAGAATAGATAGAGAAACATGCAGAACTATTATTGAGCTCCACAAAAAGAAACTCGAGGATCATTATCCTTATGGAATAGTAATACGAAAACAAAGTATTCAACATTCATTGATACTGCGAGATTTGAACGATTCAACGTTCATCGATATATAGCCACATCAGAATAGATAGAGAAACATGCATAACTATTATTGAGCTCCACAAAAAGAAACTCGAGGATCATTATCCTTATGGAATAGTAATACGAAAACAAAGTATTCAACATTCATCGATACTGCGAGATTTGAACGATTCAACGTTCATCGATATATAGCCACATCAGAATAAATACATTTGGTTTTTGTCTGTAAAATTCAACATCATGACAAATTAATAAAGCAATATGAATGCTCTTATAGTCCATTATTTGTCCTTTCTGGTTTTCTACTTTTGACAATGGGTGCACCAGAAACGACGATTAGGATTCGGAATAATGGATTTTCGTCCCACCCTACGTGCAGTCAATTTGTATCAACAAGGGAGCTTTCCCTCTCCAACATTAACTGTAAGTGGTTTCTTAAATTCTTTCAGTTACACGCCACTTAATACTACGGTCTAGAGGTATTCCTCTGCACTTGTAAGTGAAAGGTCTTAGGTTCGATTCTCGCCACAGGCGAATTTGAACCATATTATTATGGCTCGTCCAATGTGAGGCTTAGTCTACTCCCCTATTCTTTTAGTGTAGATAATATCATTTGTTAAAAAATAAATAAATAAATAACAACATATATTCACACACATAATACCCTTTTTTTTTTTGGGTGAAAGCCTACCGTTTTTTTTTTTGGGTGAAAGCACACACAATACTTTGGCACTGCATGTGCTATGTTATTTTGGCAATAGCGACAGACAAAGCGAACATAATAGGTGACGGTAGAAGGCTTAGAGCCTTAGGTTAGACATAAAATACAAAGGCCAATACGCGTACACAGACAATGTAGCCTCTATCTTTCAACCTAAATATGGAAGAGCAACAGCTTTGAGAGGATACTTTAGGTTTACAGTTGCGCCATTTGATTCAGTCATGTCAAAACCCTCGCCACTTGCTCCACCGGGCAATGCCCAGTTGAACTCGTGCACGATATTGGCCAGAACAATCTCAACGATAGATATTGCAAACTGAATTCCGGGGAAGATCCTCCTGCCAGCTCCAAATGGAATGAACTGGAAGTCATTCCCTTTATAGTCTGGACCTTTAGTCAAGAACCTTTTTGGCTTGTACTCTGGGTTTTCATACGTTTCAGGATCTCTTCCGATTCCCTACGCGTTGATCATAACAAGTGTCTTGGCCTTAATGTCGTAATCATTTATTTTCACATCTTGCGTCGACACCCTGGGAACTAGTAATGGAGCTGGAGTATGTAAGCGAAGAGTCTCCTTGATCACTGCCTTCAAGTAGTGCATGCCTACCAAATCATCCTCTGTAATTATGTCTGTTATGTTTCCGACTATTCCCCGTACCTCATTCTGCAATTTGCTCATGATCCTCGGATGCCTCAAAAGCTCAGTCATTGCCCACTCTAGCACTGCATATGTGGCATGAGTGCCTGCAATAAACATATCCTACATGAACAATTACCAAACTTAGGGCGAAATTTTTTTCATGTCTACTCCCTTTCTAATCCCCTTCAAATCAAAAAATGAAATAAAAAATTTATCTACCTTTAATATACATTGACTTCAAAATTTATCCAATCCAATATAATCCTATGATACCCAATTAACCAATCCTAGATATATACGACGGTGGACAAAATTTGTCATGAAGGAGAACCACACCCAGTTGAGTCCCCTCACCATATAGTCAACAATAAGGTGTTGACTTTCTCTTTCTTTCTTGTTTTCAAATTTTGTTAATGTTTATTCTATTTTTCTTTACTTGTAAGTAAGAGGTCAAAAGGAAAATATAACAAACGCAATCACATCAGAACGTCAAGTTCGGCTTTATAGCCTACATCATGTCCGTTGATGGCGATGAAATTTCACTAGTTACAGAGATGATTCTAAAATATTTAAGCTCTGACAAACTCAAAGGATTACAAAAGGGGTTTAAGTTCTCACAAACTCACACATCACAGATTAATACCTAAAAGATAGGGCTACTTCAGATACATGAACCAACTTACAAATACAAATCTCCAAGCTTGATTAGAACGTCATGACCTTATGTTATGCCACCCACTTCTGCTAACTAGCTTTCAACACGAATGTGGAATAGCAACCGCTTCGAGAGGATATTTTCTGTGTATAGTTAGACCAGTAGATTCAGCCGTGTCTAAATCCTCCCCACTTGCTCCACCAGGCATTTTCCAATCAAACTTGTACACGATACTTGCTAAGGCAATCTCATTAACAGCTATTGCAAACTGAATTCCCGGGCAGACCCTCCTACCAGCTCCGAATGGAATCAACTGAAAATCAGTCCCTTTATAATCTATCCCACTATTCAGGAACCTTTCCGGTTCAAACTCCTCTGGTTTGTCGTATAGCTTAGGATCTCTTCCAATTTGCCAAGCATTGATCAAAACTTGGGTCTTGGCTCTAATGCTGTAACCACTTATTTCCACGTCTTGGGTCGACACCCTGGGCACTAGTAATGGAACTGGTGGATGTAAGCGAAGAGTCTCCTTAATCACCGCTTTCAGGTAGTGCATTTCTACCAAATCATCCTCTGTTATGTGTGCTCCATTACCGACTATTCCTCGTACCTCAGTCTGTAATTTGCCCAGGACCCTTGGATGCCTTAAAAGCTCAGTCATTGCCCACTCTAGGACTGTATATGTTGTATCAGTGCCACCAACAAACATATCCTACATGAATGATTTATGTTGATTAAGATATTAACCTCTAACATATATATACATACATACATATATATATATATATATATATATATTTAAGAAAGAGAGATAGAGAGTTACCAAGATGAGAGCTTTTATAGTAACTGTATCAATAGGGAAACCAGTCAAGTTTCCTTTCTGAATCCAAAGCAAAACGTCCACGAAATCCTTTTGCTCATCATCTCCACTCTTTGAATTATAATTCATGTGCTCTTGAATAACTCCGTCTATAAAGTCATCCAACTGCTTAGCCACCTTGTCCAGCTTTGCTTTGAAACCGTTGACATGACTCAACCAAGAAAGCCATGGAATATAGTCCCCGAGATCGATAGTCCCCACTAACTCTCCAAGCTCCCCCAAAAGCTGCTTAAAATTCCTCTCACCATCTCTGCCACTGTACTTCCTCCCCAGAGCCACTCTACATACCACATCATTAGTAAGCCGCACAAACATTTCACTTAAATTCAAAACTGAAGATGATGATGATGATGATGATTGCTCTATGTGGCTGATCATGGATGTGGTTTCCTCTTCCCTCACCGAGCGAAAAGAGCGGACCCTTTTGTTGCTCAAAAGATGTAGGACGCATATACTTTTCACCTGCCTCCAGTATTCTCCATAAGGAGCAAATGCAACATCGTTGTAGTTGTAGAGGAGCTTCTCAACGCTGGGGGATTTGGGTCGGTCAGAAAATGTGAGATCATGGGTTTTCATGATCTCGCGGGCAGCCTCAGATGAAGAGACTATAAGGACCGGGACACGTCCAAAGTGGAGAAGCATGAGAGGGCCATGGCGTTGAGATAAGGTGTAAAGTGAGCGATGAGTGTGGAACCCTAGTTGATGAAAGTTTCCAATGATAGGGAGCTTAGATGGCGAAGGGGGAGAGGGGGTTTTGTTGGTTTTGTTGGTAGTTGTCGCGGAGTTGTACCATTTGTATAGGAGGATGAGGAAAATGGCCAACAGTGGGATGGTCGAAGGTAGCAAAAACAAGGAGGTTTTATCCATCACTCTAGCAATATTAGCAAAAGAAAATGTGTGCGTATCTCCTTCTGTGAGGCTTTTTAAATAAACATCTTCATTGCACCAATGTTTCATAAAAAGATGAAACCACCGCCCGGAAAATTTGGGAGTATTCCAATCGGTGATTTCAACATATGATGTAACAACTACCCCCACTAATATGTATTATTTACTGTTTTACCCTAAGCTAACATGTGTCAGCCATTTAACTCATCTTCTCTTTTCCCTCTCTCTGTCCCCCACCCCCGAGACCTCTTCCTTCTCCCTCGTCTCTCTCCCCGGTAGCTCTCTCTCTCTCCCCCCCTCTCTCTCAACTCTCGCATATCTCTCTTCCCGTGGACGCACTAGGACCGAGTCACCATCGTAGAGAGGCTCGCAACGAGCCCAGGACCCCTCTGCCCGCAAGTTCGACGGCACGGAGCAAAGCTCCGGTGAACTCCCTCCCTCTTTTTCCGTTAGGTAAGTCGAATATCACCTTCTCGTTGTTAGATTGTTGCTTGGTTGTGTTTTAGGAGCTTGAACCTTCCCTTTTTACGTAGGTTTTGCTTCGGAAATCGTTGTGGGTGAGCACACCCGTTTTCCGGCGAACCGTGGACTTTGGAAGCTTTTTCCGGTCACCTCCGACCGAGTCACGGATTTTAGAAGGCAGAAACCTCTTCCTTTCTCCCTGTTCTTCATGGTTATACTTAGATCGGAGCCCAAAACCCATTTTTTCCTGTGACCGGAGCTGTAGCAGCTCCGGCCTTCTTCTTCCTCAGCACCAGGCCATCCGGCCTTCCCCTTTTCCCCCTCGGGCCTTAAGCCCGTTAGACCCCAGCCCATTTCTTTTATTTTTGTTAGTTTATTTCAAAACCCCAAAAAAGGGCCTTGGGCCGGTGACATTTAAAGGGGCTTAAAGCCCTGTTTGTTTTGTGAGGCCTTAAGGCTTTGTGCCCGTGTGTGTGTGTGTGTGTATGTTTAGGCGTGTGTGTGTGTGTGTGTGTTTATGCATGCACATGCATGACGTGCATGTGTGTATGTTTGGGCTTAAGCCCAAACCCTATTTCCTTCATCCTAAATCATTTTTAACCCAAAAACCTTAGGTTCCTAAAACCTATTAAAATCCTAAACCCATCCAATCCCAAATTCCCTATTTTATTTAATTCAAACCCAATCTTTTAGAAAATCCTTTTTATTTATTTATTACATTTTTTTTGTGCTTAGGTAAAGTTGCTATTAAGGAAATTCGTAATCCTGATCCGTGCAATTCTTCTGCTAAGAAATATTTGCGAGTGGACTCTTTCTAAAATTACATGATTTTATAAATTAATTGCATAAATGATTAGCATGCCTACGAATTTATGAATTGATTTATGTTAAGCCTGTTTATGGAATTTATTGATTTCGTCTCGTGTTTTTTGTGAGGAATTAAACGTTAGCCTATTTTGAGCTATATTTTAATATATCGTATTTTCTATAAAAATCACGATCTGGTAGACTATCTGATGGATGACGTGCTAGAACGTGTTTTAGAAACCCTTCTTTATAGTATAGACGATTGATGACTTTATACTATGAAGTGGTTATTTATGAGAGACGTAACTATTTGTGCGTACCTAGAGGACACTATGTCGCCTGGGACGAGGATCTGGTGTTGGCATTTAGGCCGGGAGAAATAATCCCTAGCTACGGGCTGAGGGACATGGAGCATGTATTGGGCCGGTAGTTGGTAATCTCTGGCTACGGGCGCAGAGACCACGGAGCAGGCATTGGCCCGGGAGTTATATTTATTCGATGATCTTTCTAGCAGCACACCGCGTTTACGAGACGATCTATTATACGTTTACTGTTTTGATTTCCGCGATGTTGTCCCGCGATATGACTTTTGGAGATATTTTTGGCATGCTAGGATTTTTATTAAATCCATCACTTATTATGTTAGTAGTTTTCATTATATAAACTATGGGGGTTAGTACATTAATAATTGTTTTATTATTATTTTATATATATATATGAACTTGGTCCACTCACCTTTGTTTTGCGTCCTCATTCAAGACTTAAGATCAAGGCACCTAATCCCGGCGTCAAAATACTTCCGCAGCAGCATCTTTGAATCCTCTAGATGTAGGACCCACTTCTTTATTCATTCAATTTTATCTTAATTCTTTTAGTGATTAGGTTTAGTTGTATGTTCTGAACACGTTCCTAAAATATTAATCCATTGTATTTTAAATTTCTAACTCTTATTTATTTCTTATTCTTAGCTTTTGTATCAATTAATGGCTTTCGTCACCCTCAGGTGTCGGCCAGCACGTGTCTATCCTGGTATTCGGGAAATATCAGAGTTGGGGCGTGTCATATGACGACCTAAATAATAAAAGAGTTAAATGTATGTTCGGACATGGGTGTATGTACAAAGTGTGGCGGGTGAGGGTAATAGTGGAATGCGGGTGAGGGTAATAGTGGAATGCATACAGAGTGTATTAAGATAATTAAAATTTAAAAAGTAAATACGGAGAGTATTAAGTAAGTGGAGTGTAGCCAACAAAATGTAAGATATTAATAAAACAACTTGTTAATTGTAAGACTAATTCGTCAATGACTCATCTTTCAATCCACCCATAATAATAAAAGTGTTAAATGTATGTTTGGACATGGGTGTAGTTATATTACTTAGAGCGAATGTGCTTTCTTTATGTATTTAAATTCAAATTACACAGTTTGAATTGTAATATGCTTCAAATTTTTGTTCAAGTTTTGTATTCGTCTGTGTTTGTGCACACATGAGGAGAAGAAGCTGGGAATAGTTCGGTGTTTCTTCCATTAATCTTCCCGATTTATGTTGTTTTTCAATAGATTATGGTTTCAAAGGTCATCTATTGCTAAAAGGTCTTTCTCTAAGTAGAAATTTGAAATACGCTCTGATAATTAAGAGGAATGTACGATTTTTAAACCTTTGTGGTTTAAGTTCACATGTTTGAATAGACTAACGTCAAATTAGATTAGTGAGATTAAGATTGTTAACACAATAAAACATATCCAGTGTTCTAAAAATCTCCGCCTAAAGCCACCTAGGCATTAGGTGGCTGACCACCGCTACGATTAATCCTTAAGCATTGAAAAAAAATTAAGAAAAGGCGCTTAGACCTACTTAGGCACCAAGACCTGCCTAGGCGTCCGCCTAGGTCAAAGTCTCGCTTAAACAGAAAATAGATAACTTTCATTTTGCGTTTTATTTTATTCAATAAATTGTTAAAAAGTTGTTGGATACTTGGATGAACACTCATTATATGTTTGTTCCCATGTTTTCAATATATTCTAGTACTTTATAATTTATATGTCATTGGATTGCGAAAATGTCATCTACATCTATTGCGAAGAGGTCTTTCTCTAAGTAGAAATGTGAAATACGCTCCGATAATTTAGAGGAATGTACGATTTTTAAACCTGTGTGGTTTATGTTCACACGTCTGACTAGACGAATGTCAAATTAGATTAGTTAGATTAAGATTGTTAACACGATAAAACATATCTAGTGTTCTAACAGTCTCCGCCTAAAGCCGCCTAGGCGTTAGGCAGCTGGCCACCGTTACCATTAATCCCTAAGCGTTTAAAAAATAAGAAAAGACGCTTAGACCTACTTAGGCACCTAAACCTGTCTAGGCATCCGCCTAGGTTAGAGTACTCTCACTTAGACAGAAAATAGATAACTTCCATTTTGCGTTTTATTTTATTCAATAAATTTTTAAAAAAGTTGTTGGATACTTAAATGAACACACATTATATGTTAGTTCCCATGTTTTCAATATATTCTAATACATTATAATTTATATGTCATTATAGTTTGCATTTATACATTCTAAGACAATTATATATTTATTTAAATATAAGTAGACATTTAGTTATATATATATATATATATATATTATAATAAAAGTAATCAAAACACAAAAATCACCTAGGCCCCACTTTATGTCCCGTCTAGACCATGCCTAGGCACCGTCCATGCACTAGAATCCTACCCATCGTCGATTAGCATCTAACGCGTTTTAGAACCTCGTATATATCTGAAATGGGTAACAATGTGAAACTATATCCCACTTTTATTGTATGTTTTTAACAATGAACATTTTCGAACATTTGGTGTTCATCTTTTACGATTATTAATTAGTGAACCATGGGACCCACATGAGATTTTTTTGTCCCCTATCCCTTACCCAATCTAGATCCCCTTTTTGGATTTCCTCCTAACTCTCTCTTTTCTCTCTTTGGCTGCCACGTGGCAGCTTGCCCATTCCCCTTTTCTTTCTCTTCTTCTCTCTTCTCTCCCCCGAGTACCCTCTTTCTCAGCTCACACACTCTCTCAGATCTCTCTTTTCCCCGAGGACACAACCACCCACACCACACTGGTGACGACATCCCCTACCATCACCCTCACTCCATGCTCTTTCTTTCCCCTTCTCTGTGAAGCACAGAGCACCCCTATCGGAACCAACACACTCAACCCTCTTCACGAGTCTGATGGCTTCAAGCTTATTTCCTGGCCACTTCCCGGCCACGGCGAGGGACCACAAACGTACGAATCTCTTCCTTTCATCTCTATCTTCATTTTGGTAGGTGGATCGTAGGGTAAGGTTGTAAGTAAGCTTTGACTGGAACTTGGGAGGCTCCGGCCTTCTTCCTCGAAGAAAACAGGTCGGTTCGACCCAAACCTGGAAACCCTGGGTCCCCTAGCTCAAGGCTTTGGGTCGGGCTTTCAAGCCCAAAACCTCACCTTAACTCAGGCCCTTGGGCCGTGCAAACTCGAGCCTTTGGCGTAAACCCCGTTGAACCCTTAGCCTAACCCAGGACTAAGCTCGAAGCCCAGACCAGAACTGGCCCAACCCGGTCAGATCCCATACCCTAGGCCGCGCGTGTGCCTGTGCGTGGGTGCTCGCCTATGCCTGTGCGTAGAGCACACGTGCCTCCTCCAAAGGCACTGTGCTCTACCGTCCACGATGGCACCAATGACTTTTTCAGCCAACTTTCCGACGACCCATCTTGGCGCGTGGCTGCCGGGGTGGCCACCTTGCGACAGCGCGTGGGGGTACCCGAGGTTCCCCCTT